CAAGGTTTTCAAGAAGCTCATAGCCTTTTGGAAGCATCACACCTCTTCGACGATAGTCATCTTTATAAACCGGATACAAAAGGCCATATTTTAAAATCCTTGTGAAATCGTTGAAATTGTTTTTCAATAATAGATACAGAGGTAATTTTTTAGATGATTTTAAAATATCAACTACCTTATCACTACCATTTTGAATCTTCGGTGACACGCCTCATAAAAGTTATTTCAAATGACTTTTATGACGTAAAATTAAATACAAAGAGGTTTAAAGGGTGAAGAGCGTGTGTTAATTAATAAAAAGCCTTACAAAGCTCCCTGGTAAGGCTTCCCTGTCTCCTCGGAGAAGTTTTTTCTTTCTCTAAATAACTTATGTATCCGCCTTTCTTGACTCTCAAGAGCTTTTGGAATTCTTCGTAAACAGACTCTTTCTTTATTTAAAAAAAAGAGCCTTTCATTTCTTTTTTGCTAAACTCGTAGCTCAAAAGAGCGCAGGCTTCATAACGGTTTTCAGGGACAATACTACTAGGAATATATTTGAGCTGCTTATCTGTCGGGGGCTCATACTTCCACGCTCCCCCTTTAAATTGACGAATGCCCCTTTCTTTAAGGGCTTCAGCCCCAATTTCAAAACCCTCTTCCCGATCGCAAGCCGTAAAAATACACTCTAACGCTTCTCCGCGTTCTTTCACAAAACAGTTAAAATCACTTTCTCCATAACGAACAACCATACAGGTTCCGTCTGGGCTATGAGCAATATAAGCGTCATCTTGAGGATGCTCTATGCATTAGAAAGAGTTTTTAAAATGTTTTTTGAGAGGCGCAGAGGGCCTCTGATTCAACATGTCAATTTCTTTCATCTCAAGAGAATGGTTTAAATCCCGAGCCGGACCAACATCCTGTGTTTTCTTTTCTTCTTCCTCTTCTTCCTTGTCTTTTTGTTCGATACGCTCTCCTGCACTAGAGAGGTTCACATCTTGTTCTAAGGAGCCATACACTTTAGAAGAAAGACCAAAATCAAGAATCAAGCAATCTTCTTTGCCCTCAAAGGGCCGAAGACCGCGTCCCACCATTTGAATCATGGTGCTTTTATAAGAAGAGGGCCTGAGCAAAATCACACAAGATACCTCGGGACAGTCCCATCCTTCTGTTAAGACAGCCACATTGTTCAAAACCCTAAGTTCCCCTTCTTGAAACGATTGCAGGGTTGTCAATCTCTCCCTATCATGAAGTTGACCGTTGATATGTCCTGTAGGAATACCATGGTAATTAAAGGTTGATTGAATATCTTGAGCATGGTCAACGGTGGAACAAAACACAACGGTCTTGCGGTCTCCGGCCTTTTCTTGCCAGTGGCGAAATACTTCTTCATTGTATTTATCCGTGTTTAAAATCTCACTGGCAGACGTCAACATCTGGTTTTCACTGGGATTGGCCCATCGATGGCCCCGAGAATTCCAGTAAAGGTCTTTGAGCTTTTGGTCAGCCTCTTCCCCAAGTTTAATGACAAACGTACGGGGCTTTACCAAATGTCCTGATTCGACAAGCTCACCGAGGAAGATTTGGTCTGCCACATTATCAAACAGCGTACACAATCCGACTTTGTCCCCCCGGCTCGGTGTTGCCGTAAATCCTAAAATCCTCACATCAGGATTTGTTTCTTGAACTTTATGCACAGCTTCTGTCCAAGTGTTTGCCACACTGTGGTGCGCTTCATCGGCAACCACAAAGTCAAAATGGGGCCAGTCTTCCAAAGAACGAGCGAGTGTTGGCACCATGGCAAACACAACATTCCCGTCAAAAGACTTTTCCTGGGCTATCATCAAAGACGTTGTGAACTGAGGGGCAATCTTTTGAAAGGTCTGACAGTTTTGACGGATCAGCTCTTGGCGGTGTTGCAACACAAGAGCCTTTTGACCTGTCTTTAAAAGCTGTGAAAGTAAATGAGAGAGAATCACCGTTTTACCGGCTCCTGTGGGTGCAATACAC